ATGTCTAGATTCGTCCTTCTTCACATTTTCCATTTGCTTCTTATTTCTTTGGCTTCCGGGCTTCCCTGCATCGAGTCTGATCAGGCCATTTGTCATTTTAGATTTTTCTTTCTTCTCCTCTTCTACCATTTTTCTTCTTTCATGTTAATTCCTACTTTTATTTTCTTAACTAGCGCCATTTCTTTATTCCTTCTTGCTTTTTGTCACTTTTCTTTTCTCCCACGTTTCTCAGTGTTTTAGCCATTCGTTTCCATTTTTTTGCTTTTTACACCTTTACTTTATGTTATCTCTTTTATTTTCTTCTTGATTTTTCTTTCTTTCTTTCTTTCTTTCTTTCTTTCTTTCTTTCTTTATATATTCTTTTATTCCTTCAGATTCGTTATTTCTTTTCCTTCTTTGTTTTGTAAAGTCTATCTTTAGTCCTGTTCTTTCTTTCTTTCTTTCTTTCTTTCTTTATTCCTTCAGATTCGTTATTTCTTTTTCCTTCTTTGTTTTTAAGTTCTATCTTTAGTCCTGTTCTTTCTTTCTTTCTTTCTTTCTTTATTCCTTCAGATTCGTTATTTCTTTTCCTTCTTTGTTTTGTAAGTTCTATCTTTAGTCCTGTTCTTTCTTTCTTTCTTTCTTTCTTTCTTTATTCCTTCAGATTCGTTATTTCTTTTCCTTCTTATTTTGTAAGTTCTATCATTAGTCCTCTTTCTTTCTTTCTTTCTTTCTTTCTTTCTTTCTATTGGTTATTTCTTTTTCTTCTTATATTGTATTGATCTATCTTTAGTTTTCCTTTTCTTCCGTGTTTCCTTTTTTTAATTATTTCTTTCTTTCGTTACACTTGTTATTTCTCTTTCTTTTGTGCATTCTTATTTTTTTCGTAAGATCCTATCGTATTTTCTTTCGTTTTTTGGGTTATGCTCTTTTTTTCCTATTGTTTTTTCTTCTTTTTTTATTTCCTTCTTTCCCCCGCCTTTCTTTCTGACTTTTTTCCCTTTCTTACATTAGATTTGTTTCTTCTTTATTTTTTTCTTTCTTTTTCGTTAGACTTTTTCTTTCTTTCTCTCTTTCTTTCTCTCTCTCTCTCTCTCTTTATTTTGTATTGTTCTTTCTTTTTCTACTTATTTACTTACTTTATCTCTTTCTTCTCTATGTTCTTCAGTTTTATAGTATTAATCTGTCCATCTTCCTTTGTTTCTGGTTTTATTTCTTTTATTTTTGTTATCTACACACCGGATATTTCTGGAGATAATCGCTGACAACCAAATGACAGCAATTCTCCTGTGAACTTCAGGACGTTGCTCTGTATTCGCGCCAACATTTACAGTGCCTAAGTCGTCGCATTTCTATATCGTATCTTCAGTCCATCCAGGCTTTATGCGAAATTTTTCAAACATTTCATGGGCCTACCAGTAAACATTTTTAAAAATAGAATATTTATTCAGACAAAAGACTCTTATTTGCATGTGTCAATATTAATAAAAACAAACTCGGGTTTGCGGAAAATGTAATTTCAGAAAACATTGACAAAATCTTAAAGTACTCGAACTAAAGCTAAGGAAGGAAAATGGCATAAATACTTGAAAAAGTAAATAACATTTAGTGGACTTGAAAAGTCTATTTCCTTGAGAAATTGTTTAGAGAAAATAAAACTGATAAATTCCAAACTGCATTAACGTTAAATATCCGCTTAATGAATACTGTACGGTGGAATAATGTACAGTGGCTTGGATTGAAAAATCGGAGAGCCAAGTTCGAATTCCAGCCGAAGTCATTATATTCACTTACGTGCTAATACCCTTGGGAAAGGTATGAATACTCTTCTTCTCCCACCGCCCCAGCTATGGGTAAATAATAGGACAGACTAGATTCTATAGCCTTGGATGGCAACTGGTCTACAGCAGAAAGAAAAAAATCTACCTGGTCTGTCATGTATCGAAAGATACATGATCGCCTAAGCGTTTATCAGGCATGGTACATAACTGACTAATGTTTCCTTTATGGAGATGGATAATTTCAGAATTAGCTACAAATATTCTGATAATTACTAATTTACTAATTTATTAAAGTAAATATTAAGTATTACTAAACTCAAAGCCTAAGAAATCAAATCAACGAGAATTTTAATTTCGCATCACTGATAGTCTACTCTTATTAAATTAATTAATTAATTAATAACAAATTATGACGTTGACTTCATTCAACGGAGTTTTTTTTTTCAGAAGTAAACATCTTAAAATTTTTGAAGTTGTCAGGAATAAATATTTGAAATTACAACAGCTTTATATGAAGACATTGAATGCAAAAGGGACAGAGAAATCGCGCATTACATACCCAACGAACTTGTGTCCAGAGTTGACAGAGCTGAGATTAGGAGAAATATCATTAAGACAAACTTTACTAAGAGCTACAAAGGACAGGAATATGTGGAGAGCCGTGAGCGCCCACATGCAGAAGCGACACGGCACATAGAAGATGAAGAATTATCAGGTCTTTTATCCTTTCAAGATAAATTGGAAAACTTCCTAGGAATTCAGAAATTGTAGATACAAGCTTATGCTTCGCAGTATTTTCAAATATGGAGCTCGTGTTTGCTACTTAACCAATTTTGGAAACAACCATAATACTTTTGGCATAAAGTTTTTTTTTCGTTGACAACAAAATATCTAGTCCCTTAAAATGAACATAGTATTTTGTTTGAATTGTAATATCACAGAATAGCTTGTGTTTATTTTCACAATTTTAGATCCTTTGAAAGACTGAATTATAAACGTCAATGACTATAGCTACTGCAAATGTCTAAGAAATCTCTTTAATTATAATCCATATTTGCCTGAGTATATAACGTGGGGCAGCATATATTATCTTTATATCAAAGAAATTGGGTGGCGTGAAATCCGTTGGATTCAGTGTTTATTCACTTTGTAAAATCTTGATTCCTGAAAATATTTTTATAAGATTTGACATTCCACTGACAATATAAGACGGCATAATATAATATTAGTCTAATTTCTTAGTTGAAGCAATGCCAATTATGAATATGTGTCTGAAGTTTCTGTCATTTGAGTTCCATTGTGTTTATCAATACAGACAGGTCGTTGTTATACGATCATTGTGTAACATTTGCTTTGAAAATCCGTATGAATCTGACATGAAGCATTCAGAATCTTCTAACTTTAACCTTAATTACTTGTGAGCTATTGAATGTTCACAGAGAGATGGAGACATACACATGTGTCACGGATGCGAATAAGCGCGTGAGTGTGTATATGTATGTATATGTGTATATGTGTGTTTGCGTGTAGAATCCCTAACAGATGGTTATGCTTAGTCAAATCGTTTTATATACCAGTTAGTCGTGCAGAAGTTCCATTCGCGAGGTCAGCCTAACTATCGTAGCTTCGTGCCTGATTGGCTATGATGAATAAATGTCTAATTGTTTCGCGGACCAATTCGTTTCATTCGTTAATCCAAAATGAGTCCGTACTGGGTATGACGATAAACTATATCCAGAAGCAAGGCCTCTGATTAGGATGTTTTGAGAAGCGTGGAACCACCTCTCAATTGCTGTTGTTCTCAAGTCCATCCTGATCCGGGGTTGTAGCACTTGATAGGGCCCCATCTATGAGCAAATAGTTAACCCTTAAACTTCTACGATGAAAGTATAAAAGATGTTATAGTGGAAATATCAGCAATATATTTTCAGAGTAAAACACATTACCATCAATACATTTTTGCAAAAGATTAAACAAATTACCAGTTATACGTTTATGTAAGGAAAAAATACCGTAATACATTCTTTTAAAATAAATTACTAAGGCTCCAAGAAAATTAAATTTCTGCATTAACTGCTTTATCGGTGGTAGAGAAAAATGCCGTAATGACTAGCCACAGGTTGAACAGTGAGAGAAAATGATTTAATGCCCAGCCACCGGTTGAACAGTGGGTAAACACTTGCATCGTGATTTGCTATTGGTTGTCATATTTTGAAGAGCCAATCATAAAAGCCGTAATATTCTGATATCATCGAAACTTATACCAACATGTCTGCGCCTTTTCATTGGTTTTTTGTGCATGTATTTTGGAATAAAAAAAGTTCTTTTTTACCATGAAGCTTGCAGAGTCTGAACCTGGATCGTCGGGGAAGTAATCAGGGACAAAATATGCGAGAAAAGAACTCTACACAGCGCAGCAAGTAATTGATATGCTTCATGATTTATCGGAACTTGAGAATGACAATGATAACTTTGATTGTAAAGTTGAATTCGAATCGGATGATTTTGTTACAGATAGTTAAAATGGCACTGAGTATGCAGAATCAACTGATCAAAGGAGGCGTGTTCTCACAGACTGCGGTGATGTTAGAGAATATGCAAGAGAAGATCGAGTGTTGGAATAAGCTATATGAGGCAACTGACATCGAATGTGATGGTTCTGAATGCGGAGCAAAGAATATTCCACAAAGTATAAACGGAATCTCTCGCACTATTGATTCAGTCAACTTGACGAGTTCTTGCAAACTTTGTAAACAAAACAAACCAGCGAGAAGATCACATCAAGGAACCAAAACCTGACTACTTCTACGGCACGATATTCAAATGTAAACTGACTAAAACAGATGCAAAAGCTTTCCTTGGGTTGAGATTGCAAATGGAAACAACAGTAATCAACCCTCAATTCAGGAAATACTACGAATCGAGTAAACAGTACTTTCTATTAGAAACGCCAGGTTTTCGAAAAGTAATGTCAAGAGACAGACTTGTTTCCATCTTGGCTTTTCTTCATGTTATAGATGAAAATGTTGCTACAAATGACAAAGCAGATTCCATCTTCAAGGTCAGACCTATGCTAAATTCATTGCTGAAGACATTCCGACACCAATATATACCCAGGCACCACCTCCTTTTGGACGAAGGAATAATTCCATTTAAGAACAGACTTGCCATCTTACAATACATCAAAGACAAGATATCCAAATTTGGTGTGAAATCATTCATGCTCTGTGAAGGAGAAACTGAATGCATAGTGGAAGTGGAGGTCTACACCAACAAAACAGCATAGGAAATTGAAGGAATTGGAGTGATTGACAACGTTGTGTATCGCCTACTGACTTCAGCTAACGCCCAGGAAAAACATCACATCGTTGCAATGGAGAGATACTACAAAAGTGTGAATTTGTTTCAATAATGGCTGACAATGCAGAATACTTGGGAACAGCTTTGAGCAACAGAAAGAAATACCAACAGAGCCTGAAAATAAAGAAAATGAACAATCGTGGTGACAGTGATTTTCAATGCAAGTATGGTTTCGTGGCAATGATGTAGAATGACAGAAAGGCCATCAATTTTCTATCAACTTGTTACGACCCCCGGAAAATCGGAAGTGTTGAAAGTAGAAACAAAACTGGCACAGTGATCCAGATCAAAATCCCTCAGCTGGTCAGTGGCTACAACCACTACATGGATGGGGAGAGACTGACAAAAATGGCCAGGTGACACATCTGTACAAGACACGCCGTCATCAACACAGGTCAAGACGTCTCTTAGTCAAATTTATCCTGTAGCTTATATACAATGGATATGTGCTGTTTCAGGCATCTTCCCCTCAGTAAGCCAAGTCCCTCAGCTTCAGAAAGTTCCTAGATGAATACTTTGTGGATCTGGTGGGTGCATTCCGGCCAGCTGCAGTGCGCAGGCAGTTAATCAATGCTGATGCTCTGGAAAATGTTGGTCTCCAATTCCCAGAGATACCAGAAGATGCCTCCAATAACAACCTCTGTGCAGTGTGCTCTTATGAATACAATGAATTCAAGCAGAAAAACCCAACTGTGGCCTATAAAGACTATCCTGTCAAGGCGGTGAAATCTTCTGTCCGCTGCACAGCATGTCAGCGCATCTTGTGCATCTACTGGGTAGACTGGCACACAATAATTCTGGCGATAAAGTGAAGGCATGCAATCATATTCCCTCTCTGCTAAGTATAATGCTTATATTTTTGAAACTATTTTATATCTACCTTTTAACATTACATAGCAGTTATTTGTGAATTTTACTCAGGAGCTCAGACAGAAGGGTTAAAATTCTTCAGGAACGCAGTACTCAAAGGTTTAAATGTCACATAAGGAGTACATATTCCGCTAAACAAACACGCACACAGCAAAATGAGTATTTGGCGTGCAAATGAATATCACAATATAGTTTGAGTGTTTAGTTTGGTTTCTCCTTATAAATTCCCATACAACGTTGAATCTTTGATATACTCATCTATATTTTAAAGTCAGTTACTCCGATAAGTCTAATAAGGCATATATACGTTGATGTAAAACTTTAAAGAAAATTCTACAGAAAATATTTTGTATTTTATAATATAATTATTCAGCTACTAAAATATTTTCAGTTAATTCAATGAAATTGTATATTCCATCATAAAAATATTTTGGTTATAATTCATGGAGGATTTCGAATAATTTTTGATATGGTCAAATTGTTATGATTACTATCCAGTCAGCATGAAAAAAAAGTAAATTTGAAGAAAAAGAAAAAAGTAAATTTAAAGAAAAAGATTGAAATGAAAACCATTTCATGGAAGCAGCCATGATTCTTTCTTGCCTTCCATTTAGAACGAGAGGATGCATCAAAATCACTGGTTGATTTTCTTACCTACAAAAATATTGTCATTCATCATTTTATTACCTTCTACAAATTCCACTGTTTTTCTGTTTCGTATAGCTCTAAATGTTCTATCAGTTGAACGCTTCTCAGATTATGTGTTATTACAATGTGTTCTTCGTCCAGTTCATATTTCACCAAAGATTTCCCACACACCTACTGCAATACTGCCAAAATCTGTAGAGGAAAACAACAATTGAAATTCCACTGCAAATTTTCTCAAATATCACAGCAAACAATGCCAATGTTCATGTTATATTTATATCTTCTTTCTCTAAAATAAAAGTATTTTTTATCGTTTCACAAGAAATATTAGAACGTAATAAAGAGCTCGAAGAATCTACAATTTTCCTAATATTTTACAAAAACTAAAACACACGATAGAGAATGTCTTCTTATTCGTTTAGATTAAATACATGTAGAGAAAATGAATGAAAATAACGAAATTCCCAATAAAGGCGTCGATAAAATATAGAAAATAGTGAAGCTGAAAAAACAAATCTACTCAAAATGGTAAAGTCTTAGATGATAGCGAAAATGGATAAATTCGAGGGAAGTAGTAGAATAGAAGGTTGGCACTGCACAAGCAAAATGCGAAGACTTATTTGAGTATTTCAATAAAATGAAATCTATATGCATTATAACCTTGTGCTCGACTTAGCTGAACACAGTAAATATTATGAAATAAACACAAATAGATTTTATTTGTTTACAAAGTTCTCTCTTCAGTCTTGAATCATCAGAAATCCTCTACTTTTATCCTGCTTAATATCTATCTATCTATCTATCTATGTCAGTTTGTTCATATCTATCTATCTATATCAGTTTGTTCATATCTATCTATCTATCTATCTATCTATCTATCTATCTATTTATTCTATCTATCAATGGATCTTAAAAATATAAGCGTGTACTTATTTTTTTAATTCGTTGTCTGTTTGAATATGCATGAAATTTCATTTCATATTTAATTTAAAACCTTAATCTTTGTAAGTAATTAAACATTGACATTTTAAAAACTTTTAAACATTGATATTGTTTGCAAGTCAGTAAAACTGCATTTAGTGTCATTTAAATAACGTGTACATTTTGGTGGATACCCTGTGTATTGTATGAGTAACAATCATTATGTTACGCATGTTTCGTTATATATAACGTATGCATAATATTTTTGCATGTTTTATTCAATTTCTCTTGAGTCCTTGCAATATGCTTTTTTGAAATACTTGTGAGGCAACATTGTCCATTGTGTGTAATATTGCCAGGAACGGTTTCGGCTAATATGTAAGAAGAGGATAATTTTCGTGATAAAGAAGATTGTTGGCATATTTTTGTTTGTTTACTGTATTGTGACATCTTAGAAGTATTTTGAAAGAATAATTTCATTCTTACTAGATTTTTTCTTTGTTTCAAAAAATAGCCAATGTTCCATGGTAAAAAGATTGATGTTAAACAGAAAGCCAAGGATTTTGTAAAAGCGTTGTCCTTACTGTTAAATAACCTGAAAGAACCTTCCTAATAAAAGAATTTTCATGTTGAATTCCTCCATTTGACATGTCTAACGCTATTGCTCCAGACAATGGCGGCCACAATAAATAGTAATTAAGAATTTAATAACTAAATATATTTTGAGTAATTTTAGTTTTTCATTCATCAATAAAAGCAGTTAATTCGACCTGTCCTCTAATGGCATTAAACATTTACATGCGTTATTTTAAGTTACACGATGAGATCGGGTCTCTATGTCTCCTTGTACAATGCGACAATTTGTATTCCAGCCCTAAATGACAAGAATTTCTATTCCAGAAAGTACATTGTCGAAAAATATTCGACGATCTACTTTCAGTAATAGAAGCTTTTGTCATTCACGACAGCAATGCTTAATTTTACTAAGAAGTAAAAACTTCTGAGTAAAAATTATGGAAACTTATTTTATATATATATATATATATATATATATATATATATATATATATATATGTGTGTGTGTGTGTGTGTGTGTGTGTGTGTGTGTGTGTGTGTGAAACCTTACAGATTTTTCCCCACGCCCTCCCTTACTACCCTCTCTCTCCTTTACTACATGTAAACATAGCTTAGCATTATTCCCCTACCCTTCCATAGATGTGTGTTTTTCTATACGTACGTATTCTTATAAGTTTATATTTGTTCTTATTTGAACATGTTTGCATAAATGTTTAACTTTCTTACTTCAATAAGTAAATTGCGTTCTCACGTTTTTATTTGATTGCTTCTATTATCCTTTCACCACGTGAGCGTCCAGTCTGTGTAAATAGAAAAGTATCACCATTCGGGCCCCAGCCATGTTCGGGCCCCAGCCATATTCGGGCAACGCTGTCGGACATTCGCTTACATTAAATTGAACAAACAAAACAAATGGCAAACTCAAATGAACAGGATAGCGTTTGAGGTTTTGCAGTTTGTACAGACGCTGTTGTTGCCAACAGACTTGTCAAACCTTAAACATTTAACTCCCCTTGCGATATTTGCCTCTTCCAATAAAATGGAAACTCGCTTTTACTTCCCACTATCTTAGCTTTTTTTCCAGTTTTTGCTCTTTCATCTGTTTGTCCGTCTCCGTCTCTATCCCACTCTGTTCATCTCTCTCTCTCTCTCTCTCTCTCTCTATCTATCTATCTATCTATCTATCTATCTAAATCTGTTTTCTATCTATCTATCTATCTATCTAAATCTTTTTTCTTTCTATCTATCTATCTATCTATCTATCTATCTAAATCCTCCATTATTTCAATGTTCTAAACGTGATGCTCCTTCCCTTCAACATTTCTGGCGCTCCTTTTTCTCACATTCGATTTCACTTTTAATCCAAGTCTGCATAGTTTTAGAAATATTCTATTTTTCTAATATGAATCATTTATTTTTCCAAGTTTTTGCGGAAGCGTTGATTTCATTCTGTTTCTTTAATTACTGTTACAACTTTTCGGTTAATCCATTCTTCGGCCTTCATTTAGGAGACAGGGTTTTCAAGACTTTTCTACTTACCGCTGAGATTAATAAAGTATTATTTACTCTATTTCAATTCCATTCCATTATGTGCGTGTGTTGTATTCCCCCTCCACTATTACTTTTACATTTATCTATCTCTCTCTCTTACTCGCATTCTCTCCCTCACACGCGCATTCACACAAACACAACACATAGTCTGTCTCATACATACGCACAAACACAACACACACATAAATAATGCACACACATTGAAATGGACATTGAAGACGACAGCGAGCAGCAACAGTCTGTTCATGCTTAAACGCAAGAATTCAGACTAGAGATTCACAACCGAAAAATGAAGGAAAATAAACTACTTGAATAGAACTGGCTATTTTAACAGTAAAATGGCAGGACCTTTTAGCCAATCTAGTTGAATGCCAAAATTCACGCAGTCGAGTTTCCGATAAGATAACTTATTAAAACAAAATGATTGTCCACTTTATATTTACATACTCTCTTTCACTAATAATACTTTAAATTGCTCACTATTAGGGATGGAGCATATGTAAATATAAAAGTGAAAACTGGAGTCAACACCCATTGACGATTGCGCTTAGCATGAAACTGTCGCGTCTGAGTGCTGACTTTAATGTCCACTTTTTTATATATATATATATATATATATATATATATATATATATATATATATATCGAAATAATAAAGTTAATGTTCAGAGTTGAATTAGACCAGGAAACAATATTATTAAAACGTACTCGATATGTGCATAAAATATTGATATGTAGAAAAAAAAATAGGAGATCAGCCAATTCCGCTACCTTTGTTTCACTCTTTTGGTATCTTCAGGCGATTATGATCAATTGACTTCCTGAATCGTTAAGAAAGCAATTGACCGAAATCGGCGACTCTCCAATTTTTATATATATATAAATAAATATATATACACTACGTGCCAAATTATTATCGAGATAACTTTTTTTCTAATATTTCAAAAGACGTCCAATCAATTCACACAAAATTTTCACACTATGTTGGCAACACTGATAAGCCATCATCTCTATATAATCCTACACTATCAGAATCTAGACATTCAAAGGCACTTAAATTGTATAAAAGAAATAATCCCACCAAGTCAGAGGTTTCAACAGAATCTAAAGAACCCATTGAAATGTCAAAATTATCACTGGAAATCTTTTTGGTCCACTATTTTTTTACTGTAAACCAGAACAGAATTTCGGCATTTCAAGATTATATCCATTTCATTCTCAGAATTATTAGTTTATTTCTGAGCGAATTCCAAGTACAAAGTGAACAGATATTTAGATATGGATGGATATGGATGGATATATATATATATATATATATATATATATATATATATATATATATATATATATATATATATACACTGCGTGCCAAATTATTATCGAGATTATTAGAAAGGTTTAGTAAAAATTCCCAGAAGTTAGCAAACGAAACGTTTATTAATGTTGCACGTGAAGGTCAAAAGAAGTTAATAAATAAGATAATCAAACAAATAATAACAGATACAAACAAAGGCACAGTTTTAAACAAATTTATAGGGAATGTGCTTTCCCTGTTTTGAAATTTCTTGAAGAAATCGACGATCCATAGAATTTGTTAATTGTATGATGTCATCTGCTGTAATGCCGCGAGATATGTCAAGAATTGCTTCACACAACTCAGCGTTGCCCCTGAATTGTCGTACGTTGGCGTACAGTCTTCGCTTCATAATGCTCCAAAGGTTTTCGATTGGGTTCAAATCCGGAGAATTTGCTCGCAACTTCATTTTTCGAGGTCCATCGAAGCCTGTTTCAAATATTCAGTAGTCTTGTGAGCAGCGTGTGAGGGAGCATTATCTTGCATAAAAACAATGGCCCTTCTGAAGGCAACTCTTTACCTTTTCATTCACGGTTCAAGATGCTCCTTCATAAACGCTATGTATGTATCAGCATTCATTTTGACGCAATCTGGTACTCTCCATGGACCCACTAATGTTTTTCCAATGATACCACCCCACATCATTATGCCTCCACCGCCTTGTTGGCGTCTCAAACGCTGATGGCGATTCTGTCCGTTCATTACCCAGCCTTTGAACCATCTATCTGGCCCATCAAATGTTGTTCGAGTTTCGTCTGTGAACAAAACTTTAGAGAAGTCAATCTTCATATTGTCCTCGGCCCATTTCAATCAATTTTGAATGTGATTTCTCGTCAACGGAGGCTTCGATACAGGTTTGACTGTTGTTGCTATTTCCCTCAGATACCGACAGCGAGTACTTTTAGACACAGTAGGATCCCCAATGCGACTGAAAAACTCTTGACTGGTAAGTCCAGGGTCATTCGTGGCCTCTCGTTTAAGCCGTGACATGAGACGACGTGAAATAACCCTCGGCTTGCCTTTATCTGCTCTTTTGTCTACTTGTGTAGAGACGGCGGTGAACTTTTTCACTGTTTGATGACACCTCCCTATCATTTTAGAAATTTATAGGTTAGATTTATCTTTTGAGAGTTCTGAGGTGATAGTTTTCTTTTCAGCATCACTTGAACTGTTTTTACGGCCCATCTTTTCACTAAATTCTTACACTTTTCTAATAATTTGGCACGCTCAAATCACCGTGCTGATAACAAATATGGTGCCAATTTGTTTACATAGCGCAGATCAGTACAAAAATTTCAGTGATTGCGCAGGTCAGTGTTGCCAACATTGTGTGAAAGTTTTGTGTGAATTGATTGGACGACTTTTGAAATATTAGAAAAAAGTTATCTCGATAATAATTTGGCACGCAGTGTATATATATATAACTACTATACATCCATATCTAAATATCTGTTCACTTT